CCTCCTCCTCCCTCCCTCCCTCCCTCCCTCCCTCCCTCCCTCCTCCTCTCTCTCTCTCTCTCTCTCTCTCTCTCTCTCTCTCTCTCTCACACACACACACACACACATGGCAGTAATGATCTGCTTACGTTGCTTTTTGCATGGCTTTCATCGCTGCTGCACCAGTCCTCAAAGCATCAACAGTTTCTGTTGTCGCCTTTGCACCTTCTAGCATGATCATCTAAATGATATACAAGAGTATCAATAATAAAGAATCTCCCAGGATTGAACTTCGATTAATAAGTCAAATAGAGTTGTCAATAACATTGAATGTTTATGATGCCAAAGACATAACATACAACTGGTTTTAAAAAAAAAGCCAATTTCATGCTAAACATCTATCGATTGTAGTTTTGAAAAGTAATAGATATACTCGATTTTTTAAAATTAAAACAAACACCTTTTGTTTAAGTTTTTGGTGTTCTTATGCATGAAACAATCTTCAAGGTTCAAACCCTTAAACTCCCTCATGCCAAGATGAGTGTAACATTGGACCAAAAGGCCATGCTATCTGCCAAGCAGAGAATGCCAACCTCATCCATCCCTCTCCTAATTTTACCATGTGAATGGGAGTATGTCGCTCTCAGATTATCATTACAATTTAGCAATGCCCCGAAACTGATGCTGATTTTGTTATAATTACCAAAAACAATCTATTTTTTTGTTCCCACTTGATAGAAAATGAGCAAGGGAAAAGAACCTGATCATGGATTCGCAGCTGGAAATTTCCAAGTTGCTCGACTTGAGCTTCATAGAGCCTCTTCCGCTTCAGACACTGTATGGCAGCTGTAAATGCGCCCAAAGCAAAATCAGAAATCAACAATCACAAAATAACAGAAAATGTTGGTACGCAAAGAAGAAACAGCTGCAGGACTCATTTACATTGATGTTTTCCTTGGAAAATACTATAAGACAAAAGATAAAGATTATACGAAGAAACTATTCCATGTTTTAGCACAAAGATACTTCTAGTGCATACCAGAAACTCAGACCAAATAACAAGAAATTCCCTACAAAGGAAGACAACCATTAGGTACTAAAATCAATTTTGTCTTTACAACACCATGTGACAAATGCATCATAGAATCCTCTACCAGTAGAGGAGCAAAGACGGGACTAAGAAATGCCTCCGAACAAGCCAGGTCTAGGGATGGTCCTAACAGGCTATAAGAGTAACTACTCAAAAACAAGTTTATGTCAAAAGATCAAATTCTTAAAGGGTTGTCACAAGCAAAGAAAGGGAGATCATCGAAGTTTGTAGTAGGAACCCAACCTGTTATGGGACAAATCCTATAATTTGTGGGTATCCCAGAGATGGCATGACCAGCACTGCATCTTGTATCCTTTCATTTAACTTTATACAATATTAAAGCAGCAGTCACTATGCTGACAAGATTCAGAGCATTTGTATGATATTCAAAGTCAACATGACATTTGTACATGTGAACGACAACAACCACACAAAAAATGTGTGACTTGTGAAAAAAAGGATACTTGCTCAAGTTAATCAGTGACATGGGAAGGTATTGATTGGACAGAGTACAGGTCCCACTTATACCCTAACCAGGAGGAAACAATCGTAACTTCCAAACAAGTGCCAGCAACCATTTTTCTTGTCACTGATCAAATTTATGTGCCACTTAAAGCTAAGAAGAAATACTTGTAGCCATGTTGCCTGTCACTTAGACCATAACATGCTACTTAAAACAGAAAGAAAAAATAATTGCAACCTGATTCCTGTCACTTAGACCATAATTCCATGCCACTTGAAACCTTACTAAAGATCTACTTGCAATCAAGTTGAGTGACTAGTTTTATTGCTAAAAGTCATGTTGACTGGCACTTAAATAATGGTGCAATTACTTGTAATAATGAACCACTAAATCTCTGAATTAAATGCTTTTTTTTGTTAGTTAAAAGAAAGGGGAGACAAATGCATCTGGTTGCATTTTGCAACGCAGACAAATAGAGATCCATATGAGAAGAAAAGGTGGGGTGAGGAGGGAGAGGAGAGGCTACAACAAGGATGAAGTGTCCCCCCCAAAGAGAATGTCTCTAATAATCCCTCCCCCATGAAATCTCTCTATTCAATGCAGGGATGCTTAAGCACCTTCTTAATCTCTTCTGGTCCGGTCGTCTGGAGACCAAAATATATGGTATTAAGAACCATTTCACTCAAACTTGGCGCCGGAAAATGCATAGAGAGGCTCCAGTCCTACATCCTTAGATCCTCATTGTCTATATATATAACTAGTGGGGAGAATCAACATTATGGTAGAATAAGCTAGTTAATAAAAAATTTGCAATCTAAATAAGGAACCATCCAAGACTTCATAAAATAAATTAAAAGACAATAAAATTTAAGAACACGCCTCCACATAGAAGACTTCCCAATCTACATAAATGCCAGCCTTCTGCATGCCCACCCTAATGTTCCCACTAAGGTCCAACATCCCCAAATCAAAGGAGTGTTTTTTTTTTTTTTGAGTAAAAGATCAAAGGAGTGTTGATATATTATAGGTGTCACAAGTAGAATTGCAATGGAAAAACAAATGAAAGAGCAACTATTTACTGGACACACACATGAAGAAGCTGCTAGGGATTACAATTATCTATTTACCTAATGTGCACATGTAAAATACTTGCTGCTGCAAAACTCAGCATTCATCTAATCTCCCTAGTAAGAGGAGAACAACATAATTAGTCAATGGAGCACAGTCCAACCACACATCTCCTTTCTACACCGTATATAGTAGATTTTTTAATTTAATGCGCAACAATATTTGGAGAAGAAATACTTTCATGCTTTCACTGATACACTTCTGCATTCTAAATGTAAGTGAATGATCTGAGTTTCTTAATTTGTTCAAAAAGTATTGTCCAGTACACAAACAATTCACATTGCCAACGCAGGAGTTTACGCTCTTAATCAATACTGGTACAGAATTGGTCAATGGAACCTTAGGCTCGTCACTACCTTGGCAATCAATAAAGGCTCCAAATGTTAAGATGAACCCACCTACACAAAATAATGGAGAACTGACAATACTCAATATTTTCCTTCTTGCAACTAAATAAAATAAACAAACATAGAAACTGAGTAGCCTAGTGTTGTAAATGGTTGCTAATGGAGATCTTCTCCCTCTAAACCAACCACCCAAAAGCAAACACCCTAGGAGGGACCAAAACATGACAAACTAGATGCCCCAGGGAAATCACTAGCTAACTCTCCAGAGTGCAATGCAGAAGAATCTAACCAATAACATACTTAATAGATCCCACACATCATCAACTCTATAATGGGTATGGATATAAACAATTTTTAATACATGGATACCAACATTCACTAAAAATCCAAGCAAGGTCACCACAATCCCCATCTCTTCTCATGCCTCAGAACCCTCCTACACACAAGTTGCAAGCCCCATGCAAACTTGCAAACCCATGCCAAGTCAGACCCGCCCCATGCAAACTTGCAAACCCATGCCAAGTCAGACCCACCCCATGCCACCTTGTTTGAAATAATGAGCTAGGGCTCATCATTACAAGCAGCACTTAATAAGACAGCCAAAAGATCCTTATTGCCCCAGAAATAGCCCCAAATCTTGCTAACCCACATTACCAGCTTTTCCTAGCACATTTCTAAAGGGCATACGTCTAAAGGCCAGCTGCAGACGAAAAGACAATGGACAATCTACGAAGGGATATCATTGTTTCAATTTTCAACAACAAAAATATTACAAATACTAAAGATTCCATAATATTATCAATTATCAAATTTACTACATTCACTACTGTCCAACTATCTATCTGGTTGTCTATCTATCTGCAATATCATCCACACACACATGCGCAACGCAGTATAAACATGAGCAATAGGGTAACGTTCAGACTTTTATGACATTCAAAAGGCAATACCAGAAATAAAACATTTAAAGCAACAGACAAAATCACTTCGCAGAGAAGGAATAAAACGCGAACAGTCAAATGTAATTTTCTTTTCCATACAAACACCAACGAAAACGATATAGGAAATTCACATGGCGGATGATATTACATATGTGATGAGGTTTCAGATCCATTACAATGAGAAGAACATGAAATCTGAGGCTTGCTTGACTACTTAAAACCAATAAGCATAAAAAATATCTTATTTTTACATTACAAAAGAAACTCCTTCCTCACCACTTCTTCTTCAATGAAAAACAAGTGCATGAAGAATGGAGAGTACAAACATCACTGCTACAAAATACCTCTTTTATTTTTTGCTCTAGTAAATTCCTTTGCTTTTTCAACCTCTGCTGCAACCTTCTTTTGTAGAACTTTCTCCTTTTTCTCAAGCATTTCAAGGGTCTACACAGTGCATCATGCATACCATTAATTTGGAAACCATCAAACCAACAGCCAAAAGATAACTCTCGTACAAATTGATCGAGTAACAAACAATCACAAAAAGCATATCCTCAGAAAGAGCCTTCCAAAATAAAAAGTGTCATGACAAATATCAGAAAAACCCTAAATGAAAGATATAATCATCAAAGTAAGGGAAAATAATTTTTTTTTTTTTGGGAAATTAAAAAAAAAGAGTTAATGAATAAACATGAATGATCTGAGGCTGCAACATTAAAAGGAGCTAAGACTTCAACACAAGATTTGACAAAAGGAACACTATCATACATTGACTTAAGTTCCTATATGAGATGTCCAAAATCCCCAATGGACTATGTTAAATTGTCAAAGATAATATTAAACGACGTGCCTAGAAAATAATCAAAATCGATTTATACAAGTAAGCATCTTACCCAAACATAAAATCAGAATTCAGCCAATAAAAAAAACCAATCGAATTAGCAAACCGATTAAATAAAATAGAAACGCACAAGAAAATTCAACAGCATAAGAGAACTCAACCAATCCCCACAAGAAACAACAAAAAGAAAAACAGATAGCCCTAACAAAAATAACCTAAAAATAAAAGACAGAAGAAAGTAAAATCAATCCACCAAAAAAAGGTTATCTGCAAACCGAGATAAGCAGAAAAAATACCTCATTTAACTTATCTAGCGTGGCGAGAGGAGTGGTGTCCTGTTTGGGCTTGCCAAAAAGCTTGTTAAACATGATTGCAAAATACTATTTCCCCTAAACATAACAAAGTTAGAAGAATCAACAGCAATAATAATCATAAAAATAACAATAATAATCAATGATCAATTGCATAAGCCTTACAGAAATTAAAAGCAAGGCCATACTAAAAAAAAAAAAGCATGTCCACGAACAATTCAAAGAAGATCCAACGAAGTGATCTAGAAAAAACGACATAAAAAAAAAAAAAAGGAAGCAATTCAATTAACATCATAAGATTTTTTCCTAGAGAAAAAACCAAACCTAAAGCGTTTGTTGAAACTGGCGTTTGTCGAAATTGCAGAGACTGGAATACGATCAACAACCAGAGGCGATCAAAGGAAGTCTATAGGTCAAGTAAAGTCGAGAAGCGAGCGAGAGAGAGAGAGATCGATCGATCTGGAGTTTTCTTTGCCGCGGAGTGATGCAGAGGAGAGAATGAGAAAGGGGCGACTCTCTCTCTCTCTAAAAGCAAGAATGCGAAGATTTCCGATTTCTTGTGATTAAAAAATCTTATATAAAAGGTTTTCCTGAGCTTCGTGTTGAAGAAATAATGCTTTCGTTTTTTTATGTTTGATATTAGATAAATGTAAAGTCGAGGGGTCCTTGTGGGCATTGGCGTACGAAAACCGTGTTTAAAGCTGGGACAATTTTGGGAGATGTCGCGAAATTGCCATTGGCTATAAAGATTTATGGATGGAGCACTTAGGAGTCGCAATGAGCCGGATGGCCTGATAGGCTTAGGCTAAAAAAACTAGGGCATGGGCCACATAATGTGCCTTGAGGGCCAAACTAGGCCTAAGTTCAGCCCGGTTTTGGCTGTGTGGCCTTTTTTTTTTTTTTTTTTAAGTTTTTTTTCCTTTAGTTTTTATACTTTTTTATTTGGCTCAGCCCTGGGCCAACCTCTTATACATTAGGGCCGGGCCAGGGCCAATGCTGCCCTCCCTAGGGCCGGCCCATTGCCATCTCGGATGGCGATCCATGTCTGATCTAGTTTGGATCACCTTGACTAGGTTTTACATAGATCTAGACCGGGTCTGATCCAAGTGACTTGGACCCGGACCAAATCGAGATTTGGATTGGGTGTAAGTAAGTTTGACCTAACCCAGGTCTAGAAATTTAAAAAATAAAAACTTAATTTAATATATTTTATGCTAGGTTAGGTCAGATCAACCCGATCTAATCCAATAGGGTCCATGCTGGACCTAGCCCACCAGGCCCAAAACATGGACTCAGATCCAGAGCCAGACCTGGTCAGACAACTCAACCCAATTGCCACCCCTAATTTTTGTCAAAAAATGTCATCCATTCTAGAGGAGCATAAGTTTATACAAGGTTTACCATAAATGAGTCCTTCAAAAATCCACATAAAAATATCATTGTGAAGCTGAAAAGCCTTCCAGTCCATCAATTTGATTTTAAGATATATGGATATTAAAAAAAAAAGATCTCAAAGTTTAAAAAACATTGCATCTTATTTGGACTGTTTATTTTTCAAGATTTTCAAGTATTTGTACATATGCCAGATGTACACTATTTTTTAAACTTTGAAATCCTTAGAATGGCCTAAAAATAGATTTTCAAACTATTTGAGGGGTTTCTCGCATAGAACTACATATTTAAGTACATTTTAGAAGTGCGCCCTATTTTGATTGTTTAAGGTCTACCCACCCTTTTAAAAGGGGCTCAATTGGGGCCACATACAATTTTAATAATCTAGAGTCTACTCCATTGGTTTGATTCTTCCACCCATTACTTGTTTGGCTTGATCTTATTTCCAAAGCGTTATTCTGCATTACCATTGGTAGATACCAAAAATATGGGTGGCTCATGTACCATACTTACAATTACCCAATTTAAAATCTAACACACAAGAGTAATTGCGACTTCTTTATACTAAAAAATAAATAGTCTCGTTATATACTTTTTTATTTATCAAAATACACTTGGGTACAAATTTTAAATTAGCGCAAACTTTAGCACTATTTTAATACCAAAAAATATTGATTCCACCTGGAAGCACGGGTTGGATAAGATTGGGAGGTGGGGCTATCAGAGGACCCTAAGAATCGCCCTATCCCATATTTATTTATTTCTTCGTTAACTATTATGGCATCCAAATTAAGAACCAATAGATCCGAGTTATGGCTATTTAGGGTCGATTTTGATTTTGGATTAACATTTAATCCTTAATTATGATTGGGCTCGTAACTAGCCCTAGCATGGCCTAACGTTTTTGGCTAGATGTTTTTTTGTTGACACGCCGAGCCCAAACTGCCATTCTTCTAGCCTGAAAATAAATTCTCGGCCTGGGCGTGCCACACTAGTTCAGGCCAGGCTGCGACCAAGCCTGAGCAAATCTTACTTGGTGGCAGAGAAGACATGCCTCTACCCATTTTTTCAAATAATTAGGAGTAAGTTTTTTTTGAAGGTGTTAGTGAGGTGGTGTCAATGGGAATAAAAACGACGACGTGATGACTAGAGTGTGGGGTGCTAACACCACAACCTCAGCCCCTTTCCCTATGTCATATGTAGTTAAGATGTGGTAAACAAACTATCCCTTGATTTTTGTTCTAAAGTATATTAAATTATCTATAAGTGCCTTTGAGAAAACATTTGCTAATAATATTTCATTGAGAATTTACAAGTGAAGGCTATATAGCTTTTAGTTTTTATTAATTAAATGTTGAAAGTTATCTAATTTAGATAAGTATATTTTTTTAAGTAAAAAGCTAATGCAATAATAAATCAAGGAAGTTAAAAAATCAAAATGATAAAGCATATCTTGTCATATCCCTCTTTTTCAGGAGAGGTAAAACGAAACCAAATCTTTAATACGCCCGTACTTATCTAAAATAGATATAATGCAGTGGGAAAGCTTTTTTATTTTTTATTATAAATAAAAAGAAAATGAAATTTGGTACATGTCATTCTTTCAATAAGGCACACTTAAAAAAATATTAAAAATATTACTGATAAAAATAATTGTTTTTAAAATAATTTTATGTTATATTTTTTTTTGTAGATGTAAGAGGCACACTTAAGAAAATATTAAAAATATTACTGATAAAAATAGTTGTTTTTAAAATAATTTTATGTTATATTTTTTTTTTGTAGATGTAAGTTTACAAGAACATTGGCCGCCCAAAAATTAGTATCAAATTGTTCTGTAGAAAAATAATAATAAAAATACAATATAAATAAATAAATAGAGACATGAGATTATGATTAGGTCTTTCAACCACCCATTTAAATCAAACAACTAAATAACAAAATATATATAACTTCTATACACTAAAAAAGTACATAAAGTATTCTTAAAAAATAATAATAATAATTTTGAGAGCAAAAAAACATTAGCCTTTCCTTGGTGACTTACTTGATTCGTACTTGACCATGAATCACGAAAGTTTTGAAAAGGCTAGGCTCATTGAAAAGGTTCGATTGCTGCCCTGGCTTGCCCAATCATTTTCGTAGACATTTCACCAAGTCAATGTTGCAGACGTCTAGATATTAGAGCTGTTGACGGTCTGGGTTCGGGCTGGAGCAGCCCTAATCAATGTAAAGTAGGCCCAGTCAAGACGTCATCTGAAAATTTAGTTTTGGGCCCGGGCTGCACTAGTTATCGTCGGTTGCGGACCCAAAATATTTCAGGCCTATCAGACCCAATCCAAGGGCTTTAACGAGAGTAGTTAGGATTGGACAATTGTCTACCGAACAATGAAGTGTTTCATCCAGTCAAAATTTGTCAAACCACTGAACGAACATCATGGATCGTATTTTAAAAGAAAAAAATTGATAAAATAAATTTGTTCAACTTCATTTAGCTAGTCAAATTGGATAAGACAATCTGGTCGGACTGGTCAAAATTGATAAATATTAATTTTTACTGACTTTCGACCAAACTTGATTTTTACATTAAACTAAATTGCCAGCCAATACACTAATAAGTGATTTGACTAACTCGACCGTTTGGTTGGTCTAGGCTTGATAACTATGGCAATGTGGCCTTAACAAGGGGCCTAAAAATAAATTTGGCATGGGCGTGTCACCAACTCTTCTGAAAGTTCTCTCGTTGTTCGTTGGCACATGATATACCAATTTTACACCTTCCAAAATTACTTTTCATTATACATTCCTCAAACATCTCCCCCCAACAAAAGTAACAAACATAGAGTAATAAGATGGAATGGTTTTATACATTTCAACCAACGAAATATTATGTTTGTGCCCTTTTTATTCATTATCCATTCCATTATTTTGCAAAGTGTTTTTTAAATTGTTTAAAAAAGCTTGAGAATTTTATGTACGATTCATATTTGGGAGGGGGCCAATTACAAAATGGGATCACGTTTGTCCCAAATTATAGACGACACCGTACAAGTGGGGTTTATACCGTACAAAGCAAAAAAAACTGCCTCGTATTTGAAATACCGAACAACTATCTTTTCTCCCCAAAACCTGCAAGCCTTCACTCTCTTCAAACATCATGACTCTTCTCTATCTCACACTCTCTCTCCTCCAAACCATAGCATATCTTTGCACAGTAAAGGAGACCAAATTATTAGGAAGAACAAAATGAAACCCTAATCTCACCATCAGAATGAGCCTCACATCCTCTATCATGGGGTATATTGATTCCTCCAATAATGAGCAGCAAATCATGCTCAAGCCTGTGAAGATCGAACCCATGCCCTACTCTAAAAGGTGATGAAACCCTAGGTTTCTCGGAGCTCCTCTTTGATTGCGCCTCAAGAGCATTGTTCATAGCATGACATTGATTAGGGAGAGATTGACCACTGGTGCATAGGTTTGAGGAAGCAATTCAGGAAGACGCTATTCATGCTCTATCTCTCACTTATGAGAGGATTCCAAGGCCTGTACTTGTAGAGGCCATCAACATGGAAAGACTATCTCTTGACAAATTCTTAGAGCACCAGATCACACACTCTTGGTGGGTGTTGGAGAACGGCATGGCAGGGGTCAGCTCATTGCCCTCCCCTGCAATGAGTTCAACCACACCGACCTCAAGAAGAATGCAGCTGATACCATCCCCCTTGAACATGTCACACGCATCTTCCCAATTATCTCATGATTGTCTACCATCACTTCGACTCTCATCTCTCTATTTTGCAGCATCATTGTTAGAATTTATTGGTTTGAAGAATACCAGTCTTTTTCTAATTTTGTGGCAGTAGTGCTAGGTTTTTTTCACTGGTTGAACAAGGACAAGAGATTCTTTCTAGCTTTTGTTGCATTTTAATTGGACTTGATGTACGAATCATTTTTTGAAAAAAAAAAAATAGGGGGTGGGTTACGGGAGAGAGAGATATGGTTTGGGGGAGAGAGAGCGTGAGAGAAAAAATGGTCACCATGTTTTGGGGATAGCACATAACTGTCAGGTATTTCAAACACTAGACATCTACTTTGCTTTGCACAGTTAAATCCCATATGTCTGGTGTGGGCATTATCAAACAATGAGGTAACTTGAAAAAATAAACAGGACCCCACATATCTGGTGTTCGCATTATCAAACAGGGAGGTAACTTGAAAAA